TTTAGGTCCCCAATACAGGAAAGCTGCTGATAAATTGAAGCAAGTTCAGCAGAGGCCACCGTCATGGGTACTTGCCCAGCTAGGAGGTGTGGGATTGAGCCTGCACAGCTTGGAGAAGAGGTGGGCTCCCAGTGCCTATTTGGGAGTTACAGAGAAGGTGGAGTTGGACTCTGCAGTGACTAAATTGAAATGGGAGTGATTCAGATGAGATACAAGGAAAAGACTTCTCACCATGCTTGAGTTGCTGGAGAGGTTATGTGACCTCTGTCCTAGGAGGTTTTCAAGACCCAGGTGAGTCAAATGTTGAGTAACCTGGGCTGACCTCACAGCTGAGCCAGCTTTGGGGAGGACTTGGTATGAGAAACCTTCTGAGGTCCCTTCTGGCCTGGATTACTCTGTTTTCCATGTCTCTGAGGTCCAGCCAACATCTAGGTGAAAATAACATCAGCAGCTTGGTGACAAGAGAGGGAGAGCTTTATTCTTCCTCTTAAACCTGAAGATTTACTGCTCCTCCTTGAAGATAGGCTTCAGTATTTAAACTAATTTCTCTTACTTTCTTCAGTATTTAAACTACTTTCTTCTTTCTTCAGTATTTAAACTAATTTCTCTTACTTTGCAGTAGACAAGGGGAGCAGATGGTGGGTAATTTTGACTTAGTTAAGAAAGAGTAACATGCTAGAGGAATTTAACTTGTTTGCTAGCTGATGGTTAAGTATAGACTGGCTTGAGTCACATTTAAACCTTTAAGTATCTTTCAGGATTTTGTGGTTGTTTTTTTTTAAGGTTATTTTTAAACCATTTTCTATTAAATGGGAGCATTCTGTTTCTAGAGGCTTGCCCTCAGTTTATTTTGATTTCAGTTGTAAAAACAAGCAGTACTTCCTAGTGGCAAGCTTGAGTTAACTTACTTAACTAGAAACAAAGCCACTGTGTCAAAAATTGAGGTGACATGGACAGTTGTCTCCTTCTCATGCTCACCAATAGCACCATTTTCTCACAATCCATAAATTAAATGTGTGTGTGGGTTCCTCATGTTTTTACAAGTGGCAGTGCGTACGTAAAATGAGTGTTACAGTTTCTTCCCAGCATCCGCTGCTTGATTGAGTCAGTTAAGTGTTATTGACATGGGAGGGAAAAGGGAAAGGGTAAGTCTGCAGCGCTGCCACTGAAAGGGTCACCAAGATCATACTACTTTTCAGGATCAAAGGAAGCATTTACAATTGCTATTTAGAAAGCCCATGTGTAAGCAATAGAGCTAAATCTTTCAAAGCTCGCTGGGAGGTGCCTGCATTTGCACTCTAGGATGTTTTTCTTTACATAATGAAATACACCTTGTAAACTAGGAAGAGTACTACAAGTACGGCAGTACCTTAAACTTTGCCCATGGCCTAAATGGATTGTGTCATTCTCAAAACCTGATAAATCTTTGTAGTCGTACCTCAGACTTCTGAAGCAGAACAGTTTTAAGTTGAACTTTATTTTTGCTCCGCCTTTGGTGCAGTGAGGCCTGTGTATGGCATCACCAGATTATTGCTCTGTTAAAATACTTGCTTACTCTGAGCCATTGCTTTATTTTTCATCCTGAGTGCTGAAAACGTGCTTAGCTTAGGGCTGCTTTATGACTTCCTGTAGGTACCTCCCATGTCACTCCTTCTGACAGGAATGATTTCTCCTTGGATGGCAAATTAAGTTTCACATGTGATGCAAATCTGAGTCAAAAAGGTGAAGAGATCTCCAAAAGTACTGGAAGTTCATCACCACTTTTCTTCTAATAGGTGTTAAGGCCTGATCTGTGCAAAAACCTGGTTCAAAAGCAGCTCTTTAAAGGTTTATTCAGATGCAGAATTCTTTGTATTGCCACCAAGCATATTGGTTTCATATTTGCATTTGCCGTTAAGCAGATTTAGTGTTCTCATTTCTTTATGGTATGCAGTGGTTCCTTCCCTGCTACTACAGGTTTGTGTACTGCTGGGGCATAGTATTACTTGTTTTACTAAATACTAATCCTGCTGTTAGCATTGTTTGTAGGAAGAAACTTGTACACTTAACCCGGTGATATCTGTTGTTGTGTTAAGAGTGGACCTGTTCTGTGTCTGGCCATGGTTTGTTCTGCTTACTCCTGAGCTTGTCGGATCATGAGTAAAATCAGTGTTTTATTCCTGAAAATACAACAGAAAAAGTTACATTGCCTAATGTTTAAATTTGGAGTGTTTTGAGAGGTCTGTGTCAGAGACATTTAATTTCAGCTTCAGGCACTTGAATGATTGGATTCTTGGCTTATGTTGAGATGAATACGGTAAATATGATTAAAGTTTATGGGGCTTTTAATTTAAATTCTTTCTCCGAGGGAGCTTCTAAGGTACTTGAACACAGGTGTCTAAAGCCATTTGAAATTCTGGGATGCCATCTCTGGCTCCCTGCAGCCACTTTAAAATGACATATATTCTCCTGTGTTTTGTGCCATATGTGCAGTCATATGTTTTGGATATGTCAATCTGAAATGTTCCCAGGCACCTGTGTTTGGATGCCTAAATTGCTTTCTAGCAGACAGCTTTTTGTCAGCTTTTTCAGACAGTTATAAGAGAAGAATACTTTGCTTTGATAGTTTTCAGGAAGGAGAGATGAAATAAATAGCAAGCTGAGAACTTTGGACCTGTAGAATAATATAAGGAGTACACTGATTTAAAAAATCCCCAAACAATAGAGCAACCGCTGGCTTGGCTTGGTATTTTAAGAAGAGATATTAATGCTTGAACTTTGAAACACAAACTTAGCTTGTGATGGTCATTTATTTGTAATACACAGTTGTAGCTATTAACTGCTTGAAAGATTGTTGTGGTTTAAGCCCAGCCGACAGCTCAGCCCCATGCAGCCACTCGCTCACTGCACTGGTGGGATGGGGAGAGAATGGGAAAGGCAGAAGTGAGAAAACTTGTGGTTGAGTTAAAGACAGTTTAACAGGTAAAGCAAAAGCCACACAAAAAAGTAAAGCAACACAAGGAATTCATTCCTCGCTTCCCATCACAGGCAGGTATTCTGCCATCCCCTGGAAAGAAGGGATCCGTCACGAGTAACCTACCTGGAAAGACAAATGCCATCACTCTGAATGTCCCACCTTCCTACTTCCCCCAGCTTTATATGCTGAGCATGACCCCATAGAGTGTGGAACATCCCTTGGGTCAGTTGGTCACTGTCCTGTGTTCCCTCCCAACTCCTTGTGCACCCCCAGCTCTGAGTAAGCTGCTCAGCAGTAGCTAAAACATCCCTGAATTACCAACACTGTTTCCAGCACAAATCCAAAACACAGCCCAATACCAGCTGCCATGAAACCACCATGAACAGAAAGCTTTTTACATTAATTTCTATTTTTTCTTTAATTCCTTTATTAAAAAACTTTGCCTTTGCAGAGATTTATTTTTTTAAGGTTTATTTACTGTTAGTATTCTAGATGCCAGGATAACTCTGAACTGGTCTGACTTGAACCTGTACATGCCAAGCTGAGGGGTGTCAGGTGAGACTTGGGGGAGTCTTGTTTTCATTTTTGTTTGTCTTACTCTATCTCCCCACAGGACATGCCAAAGCAAGGAAGGTGACTGGGGGAGACTACAGCAAGATAGGCTTAAGGTGGTTGGGATTGGGTTTGAAGAATTGGTTATATCAGAGTGTATAGTTTTATCACTTTTGTGGAATGAACCCCACAGGCATGATTTAAAAGAAATAAAGTAATAAAATAGTGTGTTTGGAGAGAGCTGTGGTTGCCATGAGGATGTGGGCAGGCTTCATTTGAGATAGTGTCTGTAAGTTGTTTGTAGAAATGGCTACTGTTGGAAGAGTGGGTGAGGTGATCCTCATGGTTACGTTCAATACTCCCTAGTGCTGAGGCTTTGTTGTTTGATTTCGAGGCATGTTTTATAAAGTACACTTGGTTTTGCAGCTGATGGATAATTTAGCAGGTAGAAAATGGTTAAATCTTAGAGAAGTTATTAAAGTGCCTATGTTTTTGCATACAGTATTCACAGAGGCTTTTTGTCCTTTCTGGGAAGCAAGAGGAAATAGAGATTCTAGTTTCACATGTCCCAAGAACCAAATAGGAAAGCAGATTTCAGCCAGAAAGATCCCAGGCCATTTTGGAGAGCCTGCCATCATATGAGATGGTAGCAACCATTGTGAACATTGCTCTTTAACTCTGTGTGTGACTCTTTCTTGTATCTGCTTTTATTTCTTCCTTTCTGTTCCCAGTTTACTGTTGTTTTAAATCTTCAAAAGGGAATAATATTCCATGATTTTATCATAAGTGAGGTAATACTAAGGAATTTCAGATTAGAACCATAAAAGAAAGTTTTCAATTGAAAATATCCTTCAAAAATGATATAATTTATGATTTGCTGCTATAGATGCTATCTTCTAGATTAAATAGTGCTGTCTTGCTTAAAATAGAAATAATTGTAGATCTTTCTTAAATATGGAGATATACTATTTGTTGTCAGTGTCTTAAGAAGGTTAATGTATGGAAGGCACTAGTTGTCTTAGACTGTGACTTGGCAGTCTGGGACTGCAGTTGTGTTTGGTAATTTCTGTTCATAGAAAGTATGCTTTCCCCAGGACTTCTGAAAAAGTTTTAGTAATACCAGTATCAGCAAGAGCAAGTCTAAACCAGGACTGTTCAGCAAGAAAGAGGCACCGCAAGGGAAAAAACAAGATGAAAGAAGATGGAAAAAGAATGACTAATATTGTTAGGATTGTTCTTCCCGCTGTGTGAAAGACATCAATGCGTAGCACAGTAGGAGAGCAGCATAATATTTTTAAGAGTTTTAAGTAGAAGGTATGGAATTCAAAACACTTAGTGTTCTGTCAAGTTACATAAACTGTAGCCTTGCTAAACTCATCTTTTCTTTGCAATAGTAAGGGAGGTTGCTAAGGGGTAGGGGGATGTCAAGTGAGATGGCTGCAGGGGTGTTATGCACAGAGTTAATTTCGACCTACGCTCTGCTTCTCTGCAGAAGAAGTTGAAGAAGAGTCTGAAACTACAGTTGAGGTTGACTTGACGGATAAACAGAAACATCAGCTGAAGCACAGAGAGCTCTTCCTTTCTCGCCAGTATGAGTCCCTTCCAGCAACGCATATCAGGTAAGATGAAGTCAATCTCAGTGGCTGTGTGTTCTGTTGAGGTGGGTTGCCTGCCAGTAGCTCACTTCAGCCTCTGTCCTGCAAAAGGATGTGGTTGATCACAGCAGAGTTGTGCCAGGCTGGCCCATGGACTGCTTTGGAAGCACCTTTGTTTTTCCTTCTGTTACTTCATGTCTGAGCCTTGGAGGGGACAAGAATCTCAGAGCTCTGGCTTGTCAATTAGAGCATCAGTTGGTAATGTGGTATAAAAGGTCAGTTTGCTCTACTTTGGAAGAGTTATTTAATTATTCTTCTGCTGGCCAGAGGATCTTTGATTGTCTGCCCAGGGAAACCACAGATGGCTTCGGAAGGGAGGCAGTGACTCAGTGGTCAGTGCTGCAATTTAGGGCTGCATGCATTTAAACATAAAATTACCCCAACTTCAGTGCATGTGAAGAAGTCATGATTGAGTTTGGCTAAATGTTGCAAAAGCATTTCAAGTATTGTTTTAAGTTGCCCTGCCTTTAATGTAGGAAGGGGCTTGCTAAAGCTCAGAAAGGGTTTATTAATTTTCTTTCTGTAAGCACTTAGGTCATCCTCGGTTTAACAGTCAAGGAAATTCTTACTGTGTTGGGGAGGGAGGTGATGATGGAAAAGCAAGAGCACAGTGACAGGGAGGAGTGTAGCAAGTGCAAAACAGGGGCTCTTAAATTGCATTCTGAAGGAGTTCTCATTTTCTTGTTACATCCAGCTCCCCTCAGCCATTTCAGACCATAAATGACTAGAAGCTGGCAAAACAAGTGTATATGCTCCAGTGGGAAAACCACTTTGTATATGCATATGTATTTTCCCTCTTGTTGGCAAGTGTGTGGCTCTTCTTTCTCATTGCAGACAGAAAAACTGGAAGTTGGAAGTTGTTATATTAGTTTCCTGTGCTTGATTCAGCTAGTTGTTTTCTGACTTTGAGGAAGTCATTTAACTGTCAAATCTCTGCTTCTCCAGCTATAGCTGGAGATAATAATCCTGCACAGCTCGTTTTACTTCCTTTGACATTTAGATATTGAAAGAAGGTATTCTCTTCTCAGAGAGAAGATTACATACAAAAAGTATTGTAAATGTCTCTTCACCTCACAACTCTGGGAGCAAACACAGTAGTGGTTCTCCATTACATATTTCACAACGACACTAGAAAACCACGTGAACCCATAGTACATGCAGTACTGCGCAGCAGGCAGATGCAGAGTGATGACTTGGATCTCCTTCTCAGAACAGGTGAATGCTGCAGGGCTGTGCTGTCACACGTTACCAGGGCCTTTTACCAGATGAACTCTGGAGCAAGCTTTATGTAGTCTAATGATGTTTTAACAATCTAAACTTTAAAAAGAAAATACACACAAACTATACCCTTATTTTGCTTATTTGATTTATCAGTGTTCAGATTCCGTGATTCTTACTAGGCTTCATAGTCTATTAATTAGCTCGTTCTGTAAAAGAGGATAGAAATGTTGTGAAGGTGGTGTACTCCAGCTTTCTCCCATCAGTACTCCAGAATAATCAAGGATGGAGATTCCATGGCCTCTCTGGGTGTCTGTTTCAGTGTGGTGAAAATTTTTTCCCCTATCATCTAACTGGAATTTCCCTTGTTGAAACTTAACTGTCTTCTGCCTCTTGTCCTATCACTGTGCTTCTCTGAAAAGGAGCCTGGACCTGTGTTATATATCCTTTCATTAGGTAATTGAAGACAGCAGTAGGATTTCTCCCTTTAGTTGTCATCCCTTAAGAGTGAACAAATCCAATTTAGTATCATCTGCAGACTTGCTTGAAGCGTATTCAGTGAACTTGTTTAGATTGTTAATAAAGATCTGAAGGTGTTGGCCCCAGGATTGGCACTTGGGAGATGTCCCCTGTAACCAGCTGTCAGCTGGACTTTGTGCCACTCACTACAACCTTTTCAGCCTAGTTTTTCCCACCTTATAGTCTGCTTACTTAGTCCATATGTTACCAATCTGCTTGAAGAACACTGCAGGCTTTGCTAAAGTCAGGGTAGATGACATTCACTGCTGTCACTCATCTTCTAAGCCAGTCATCTCTGTATAAAAAGCTGGAAGATACTCAGCAGTAATTGTCCGAGTAGCTCTTACCACTGGCAGTTTTAGCAAGTTTCCCTGCATGGGAACAACTGGATTTACAGGAGAAACTAAATGGTACAGTGCTATAGACTGACAATGGAAATCTGTTCTCTCAAGAGTAAGAAAACAAAACCTCAGTCCCTTTGGAAGGAAGAGAAGCAAGCTGAAAGTGATTTTAAGAGAATAGAGGAGGCTGAACTGTCTGTAGTTGCTTTTGGCAGCTACAGGTCTTGAACTTTTGCAGCTTCAGCCAAGAAAAGAAACTGAGTTTGGTTGCCTTTCTGTTTGTAAGTCAAAGGAATGAAATTAACCTGGTATGGTATGTTTTTGTTTCGTTTTTAAGAATACACTTTTAAACACTGCTTTTGTTTCATCTTTCTTCCTAACGTTAGTCTATTTACTTTCTTTTAAACTGAATGGCAGAGAAAGTTACCTGAAAACCCCTCTGACTGAGATTACTTTTATTAAAATTCTCCATTACAAATACAGTCATGTCTCATTTATACACCTGGTGCCACTGCTTTATAGCTGAGGTGCCTTGCAGCTATTTTAGCAGGTTAGATTTTTCTGTACAAACCTAATTCTGAAGCTCTTTGGTCAGTAATGTTGAGTTTTGAATGATTCTGATGTAATTTGTTAGCTTTTGAGTTACAGAAATACAGTTTAATTCCTTATTCTCATACTTTTTATTTTTCTATATATTACGTGGAAGTCTCTTGAGCTATAATGGAGTTTCTCTTTTAACTATAGGGATTTTTTAGACTTCACCTTATTTCCCCTTTTCATTAGGTGTAGGTAGTGTAGTGGTAGTTAAACAGGGCCATGCTGCCTTCTGGACACAGTGTTCCTGCAGCGAAATCCATTTAAGAAGGTATAATTGCCTAGCTCTGAGCAGCACCACTCTGGAGTAGTGACTTGTGGTACACTACAAGCTGATGTGCTAGTTTGCATCTCAAAGACAAGGCTTGTTACCTTAGTGCCTGCTTGTCAGGTTACCAGTGAAACTGTTCCCTCCCTATCTGTTCAAATGTGTAAGGTTAGTAGCACCCCTCCAGTGAATTACCTCTTTCCTTCCTAATCCCTGCATGTTACAGATGCAGTTTGCCAGGCACTGTAATCCCCAGATGTCCTTGAAACGGAATTAGGCTGCCAGCCAGGCTCACTGAACACTCCTTCATTACTGTTACACATTGAATGCACCCAGAATTCCAGCGGATAGCTCCTGTAAGCAATTCCAGTCTGGAGAGATGCACTGGGTTATCTGACTTGGGCTTTAAATCTCTTTTTCATTTGTAAGGTCTCAAGAGTTAGTAAGTGATAAACGTGTTCAGATTGCTGGAAAAGCTTGCATTAACTTCTGAGATCATTTGTGATTGCTTTTAATTGTAATACTTTGTAGGCATTGAGTAGAAGAATTTATCCTTGAGGGTTTATCTTGCTATTTCATTATCTTTGCTTAGTTCTTGTTTGCTAATAACTGTGTTTCAGTCTTGGGATTGGGTTTTTTTTGTGGTGGTGGTAGTGTTATTTTAAGTATTTGGGAAGCAGATGTAAGCCAGGAGTTCTCAGATGTCATAGTAAAATCAGGTGTGCATCTTTCGGACTGCTCTGTACTACAAAATGAACTCATGCAAAGTAAAAAGAGGCTTGTATACAGATTATTTGCCTGATGTCAAGACAGCTTGAGAATGGGAGCAAGTTTCAAAGAGTGGTGGCTATTTGTGAAGGGAAAAGAGTATTTGTTTGCTGTCATGTTGGTGATTTAGTTGGTTGGTACAATTGTGTGGGGTTGGGTTGGCACAACTGTGTGGGATTTGGGTTGATGCAGTTGTGTGGGGTTTTGTTAGGGTTAAATGCTGCTTTGTCAAAATTCTGTCTTAGTTAACAGCAGGGTGACAAATATTTAGTAACTAAAACTGAGGTGTGCTGAATCCCCTCCGTTCAGCATTCTTTCTGGTAAGTTATTGAATACAATTTAAGAGTCCTTCCCTGGGACCAAATGTGGCCACTGTGGGACTGTCATGACCTCTTTAGTTGTTCTTTCACCTGATTCAGGCCACACAGTTTTGTGCAGAGTGGTGCTGTGATCTCAACTGTTTGTGATGGATAATTACTGTAGACTTTATAGTTTTATCAGTTGCTAATTGCATGTGTCTGTACCACTAGATCCAAGGGATCGCAGTCACTTTGGTTTTGTGGGTTTCCCTTTGTGTTTCGGTTTGGTTTTCTCCTGGAGACTGTTTTTTTTCCACGAGTACTTCTTGCTCTTCTTGGACACCATTTCAAGATGCTGAAATTCTCGCTGAGCTTGATTTCTGGACTCAACATGTCTGTGTGTGAAACCTGTGCATTATGTGCATGTTTGTCATTATGGAGGGGATTAAAATTACTGTAATAAATCTACGTACTCTTTAATGGGGAGTATTTATCTGATCTGTCAATGGATGAACTAAGTGTTTCTTACGTTTCTCAGAGGATTGTATCTGATGCTTGGCATAAGCAACAGATCCAAACTTTCTATATACCAATGGCCTCAATTCTGAAAAACCTTCTGAACTCTTGACTCTGAAATCTTCATTTTTTTCTGAGTTATGAATCCCTCTCATACATCCCATCTATTTAAAAAACCTCAAACTAAAACACAAACCCCAAACTATCTTAAGATGCTCTGGCTTGGTTTATTACTTCCATTCCATGCTTTAAGGACATCATGAGGCTTTTAAAGATTGTGATTGCCTAAGATAATTTTCTTGAAGGCTGATTAATATAACCGGGGAGAAGATGAGTATTTTTGCAGAATGCCTGTGCATACGTGACATTAATGGGCTTCCAAATAAATCATGAGAAGAGTGCTTTAATTTTCATCAGGAAATTTGGAGCTTTTGCATATTT